TCCCTACACTAGCGTTATCGATTACCACCCAAAATCAATTATATCATCGGATTCCGGTCAGATCAATTAGACTATAGGCAATTTCAATAACATTGTTGTAAATCTTCTCTCTTTTAAATAATAAAATAATATGGACAAGGTGTTAAAGGTTCCTTCCATTTGTTGTTTCCTCGAGCCTTTGATTTTGACTCAACATATAAACTTCTCAAAATCCATAGTTTAAAAGCAAGTGTATAACAAAATAAACGGCAAAACTACAAATTAGAGGGTCAATCCAGCTGTTACACGTTAAAATACTGGTACACATTAATTTGTTAATGTTTTATCACTTTTATTAGACTAAAATGAAATTTTTGTTCTTAATAATATAAAAATTTCAAAAGATTACATTACTAAAAATTAGACATATGACAGGTCTTTGTTCTTTTTAATTAATGGCAGAGGCTGAATATGTTCATCATAAATTTGTCATTGCATGAAATGCATAATGGTGTTCTGATCTTGTGTGCTTCCGAAGTTGTCAGTGGATTTTTCCCTTCAAAAACAGTGAACAGTTCACAGAAGCCGAACTATTTAACGTAAGAAAACTCGTACGAAAAAACAAGGGAAGCAGCATCAGTGGTATGTGTAGTACGAGCTGAAGAAAGCTATATTATAAATAGACCAGGACTGCATTATATCTTGCTACCTATCTCAAACCCTTCTCTGATTTTCATACACATTGGTCGTTCGTTCTGATTTGAGAAATTGCATTATCATCATTTAGGCATGGAATTGAGTTTTAAGCATCAAGTTGGACTGGTTTGTGTGATATTGTTGTTCCCTGCACTGTGCAGCTGCCACGAATATGTTACGAACTCGAGAGCAAGCTATTATAACACACCTGATGGCCTTGGAAATCCAAGTAACCTTCCTCTTCCTGCTATATTATACTATATACCCATGATTATTATGTGCTTGTTTGTATTAAATAAAAACATTATGCATACAAATATTACTATATGCATTTCAGGGGGAGCTTGTGGGTTTGGAGAATATGGAAGGACAATGAATAATGGGAGTGTGGCAGCAGTATCTGGTTTATGGAGGAATGGGGCTGGGTGTGGTGCATGCTATCAGGTATGGTGCAAGATACCAGAATACTGCAACGGAAAAGGTGTACACGTGGTGGCAACAGACTACGGTGCAGGAGACAACACGGACTTCATTATGAGCAAACGTGGCTTCTATGGTTTAGGACGTAACGCGGGTGCTTCTAAAGAGCTTTTCAAACGCGGAGTTGTTGATATTGCATTCAAAAGGGTTCCCTGCAGATACACTGATAGCATCAAGCTCCACGTTCAGGAGAGCAGCAAAAACCCTGGCTACTTTGCTGTTCTGATTCTCAACGCAGATGACATCACTGCTGTTCAGATGTGGCTGGTATGTGTGTATGCATGCATGTATATCATATATAATAATTTTTATTATAAGATACTGAATTTGGTTGTTGAAATGAAATGTTGAGCAGAAAAGGCAACAACGATGGGAACCCCTTCGCAGGGTGTATGGAGCAGTGTTTGACTTTGCTAACCCACCAACTGGTGAAATCTTGATGAGGTTTCAAGTGGGCTATAAGTATTGGCTGCTACCTAAGATCGCTATCCCTGCCAATTGGAAGCCTGGAGCTACTTATGACACCAAACTTCACCCTTATTAGAACTAAATACGCATGCACTTTCACACCCCAACATATCAACATATATATTACAGATATAATAACTACTAGTCATATTATTCTGTTATTTTGTTTGTTGTAACTCAATGTGTTTCTTGTGTTAATAATGCCCTGTTGTCCAAGGGACTACAGTAAAGGGCTTCATCTACTTTATAAATTTCTATCCAAGACTACATGGAATATATATGAATAAAATGCATTTGCCTTTTGTTTTTTCGATTTAAATTGAGTATACAGTAGAGCAAGTCTATATTGTACATACTGTTAGACTTATTTTTAATCATAGATACCTATGTCTAGCAAAAGTGCTGTGTGGATTCGAGGATGAGTTAGCAAATTATTAATTGAATTAAATTAATAAATGGCCAATTATAAATCGATTATCCATGAACTGAAATAAAACTATTTCATTGGGTCAAATTAAACACTGTTTGACAATATTTTAGGTACATACATCTTATTGAAAAAAGGAAATATGAGAAAAAAAGAAAAAGAAAGCAGAGAGATAATAGAAAACGGCAATGAAAAGGAGTAGAGATTAAAATAGTAATGTGTACAAGATGATGAAAGAAATTGTTATTGGACAAAGTCAAGGGAATTCACTGACAAAGAGTAAACAAGAAGCTGTAAAGAATAGTATATAGGTAGCATTTCCTTGAGAATTAACCTTGTGTTTGAAGCATGTGGAGGAATCATGAATCATGAATCTTGAAGAATATTAGGCGTTTCTTTTGCATGATGATCTTGAATGGTTAGCGATCCAAAGGCGTGTTGTGTTAAGTGGTACTCTAGTTGTGCAAAGAGATGATCAGCATGTGGTCGTGGTCCACACAGAGGAGGAAAGTATCTGAAAACTTGAATAATTGTTCTTCTTTGATGAAAAATCCTTTTAGTTTTAGGGTCCTTCACATCATCATCATCATCAGATTCAGATGAACCATTATTTGAGGCAAATGGGCCACATCCTTCTGGGTAATCACGAATGGAACAAAGTTTCCGCTTTCTCTTCTGTGCCTCACCAACAAAACACAAATCAACGTTTTCCATCACTCCTGAACCTTGGGATTGCACAGAGATCACAATGTATCGCTTAATTTCCAATTCCCTACTCTTCACCTTTAAGAGATGCAAATCCAATACATATGATGCACTATACAGATTAGGATTATTTAACTTATCTTCATATAGGAGTTCCATGCTGATTACGTTTTTCAGGACATTCATTATCTTTAGAGATTTTATTTTTATTAAAATATCTTTTTGTTTTTCAAGATTTTAACTTTTATACAACATATCTGCTATAAAGGGGAAAAAAATATTTGATGAAGATCTTAGGAATTTTGATAAGATAAATAGGATTTTGGTTCAATATTTTGGTGATAATTAGTTTGGTTAACAGGGAGGCGGGAAAGGTCCATTTATTTGATTTTTCCAAAAGTGATATATATATATATATATATATATATATTTATTAATTTGTGCATAAAAATCTTAAATTATTATCATTTTGAGAAAAAAAAAGTAAATTAAAGATTGAAATGAGAAAAATAATAAATTATTTATAAGCTAATATATATATAATATATAATTTATACAACATTTTTTAATAACTAATATTTTGATTTTTCTTTTTAAATGAATATGAATTCTAATTTCGTTAGAGGATAAATGAAGCATGTTGAACTTGTTGAATATATAACTTTTGTAGACAATATAATAATAAAATATTTTTAAATTTAAGACATTAATTATGAAGATATAAATAGGAGAGCAATAGAAAGATAGAGAAGAGAATGAAAAAGAATATTTTAAAAATATATAATAAAAAAATCATTTTTATGTATGGATTTGATAAAAATAATAATTTTAATTTTAGAGGGATCAAATAATAAGACAAAAAAATAGAGGCATTTACTCTATTTAAAAGTTTAAATAATAATTTTATATATTTTAAAATGATAAGGGTTATAATAACACCAGGGTAACTTTTATTAAGTATTACATCGCTCAATAACTGTATATTAAATGTAAATTTTGTAAATCCAACCATTAGATTGAAAGTTCATAGCACTTTATATGTTTATATCAAATTTTGTTAAAATTGAACAACAATTTGAAGGTAATCAAAGTGTTCATATTTTAGTATATTTTGAAATATATATATTATGTCAATTTTGTTTTACAAGAATGAAGTATCAAATCATCTTAAAATAATATAAAATTTTGTATATATGGGCTAAGAGTAAAAAACTTTCAATTTAACAGTTGAATTTATAAAATTCACATTTAATATAAAGTTATTGAGCAGTGTAATACTTACTAAAAGTTACACCGGTGTTATTATAACCCTTCTCTTTTAAAATATTATTTTTATAAATTAAATTTTAACATTTTAAATAAATTATTAGTTAACTTAATATATTTATTCATCTTAAATTTAAGATATAAAATTTTAAAAATATATTTATTCATGTTTTATTTTCTAATTATCAACCATTAATAAAATACTAATTTAAAATCTTATCTAATTATATCATAATATTTTCATATCAAATTTAAAATCAAATATTAGTTATACAAAAATAAAATATTGTACTTATTATTATTTTCATTTATTTTAAATATTGTACTTATTTTTAAATTAAATGTTATTAAATATTTTGATATTATTATAAAAAAATCACTGTTATTTTTTATTATCATCAATTTATAAAAATAAAAAATTTAAAATGACAAATTTTAATAATATTTTATTTTTTACCAAATATTCTTTACATCACTTAAAGCATAAAAAAAATTTTCTTGCATCCTGCCAAGGTTATCTACAGAAAATCCGTAGGTAATAATCTGAATTTTTTCATTACTCACCCACCATATGTTATTTACTGAAAATTTTCGTAGATAACTAAAAATTATCTACAGAAAAAAAATTTATAGGTAATATTCCGTAAATAACTAAACATTGTTTACAGAAAAAAATTCGTAAGTAATATTTCGTAAGTAACTATACATTATCTACAGAAAAAATTTTGTAGGTAATATTCTGTAAATAGCTAAAAATTATCTACAGAAAAAATTTCGTAGGTAATATTTCATAGATAATAATAGTTTTTCTTGTAGTGTGAGAACTTATATCTCAACATGACAAAGTTTATGCAAGGACTCACTCATAAGTCAACTCACTATATCTTTTCTCCTTAACAACTTGTTTAATTAGTTTGAAGAATTAGACAATATTTGCACTCACACTCACACTAGACTTATCTGACACTCACACTAGACTTGAAATTAGAATTCAAGCTTTTACTCAATTAAGTACTTTGCATCCCAAGTTTAATTTGAATGTTTCCTTCATGTAACGTGATGGCCATTTTTCTTTTCAGGGTATAAATTGATTTAATCCAATTATTGTCGTGAACATTATGGTTTGTAATTAATTGAAACTAAGTCTTCTCAAACTCTACTTTAGTTTCAAGGTCATACATGCATTTCTTGAAATCTCTTAGAAAATAACTTCCTCCTTTCATCAAGTGCATTTCATTTTTGATTGGTTCCAAGTACATAAACCATGATAAGTTTAGGGTATCACTTTAGCAAGTGCCTTGGCCATTGCCTAAACCTGGTTAATAAAGACTATTTGAGGCTTTTGTTGACTATTTGCTTCTAAGAGTGTCTTAAACAACCATTTAAATAATTCAGTTGTTTCATCATACAATAATTTTGCACTAAATATGATTGCACATCAATAGTGGTTGAAACCCAAAAATAAAGTAAGTGGCATATTTGCACGGTTGGTACAATATGTAGTATCCAATGATAGAACATCACCAAAATATCCCTAATCTAATACCATTTTGCATTAGCCCAAAATACATTTGTTATTTATTCATCTATATTCATTTGGTATGAGTGAAAGAAAGACAAATTCTCCAATAATTATTGTTGAAAGTATTGCAAAATGCATCCTACTTCACCATACATCATACTTCTTTGTCGTCTTGTATTGAGATGATTTTTTACATCTACCTATGTATATCCAATATTAACTCTATGTCCTACAAGTGTACTCATTAGCTGAAATGTTGACTTTTGTTGTAATCTAGAATCATGAGCCAAATTAATTTCATAAGCTTAAACTTCAATTATCTTTTTTATGTGATGCAAGCACATGTGTTGTTTCTAGAAATTGCAAAGAATGACAATGATTCCCTACAAATTAATGAATGACAGTTTTCTCATTTTTCACAAGTTAAATTCTTATTTTGTAATTTATTTTAGTTTTGACTCTATGTTTTTTAATCAAAACATCTCTCTTGGTAGCTAGCTAGTTGTGCCCCTTCTTTGTAGGAAACAAAACCTACATGAAATGATAGAATTATCTTCTTTTCTTATATTCATGTATGTCTTTTAACTCCAAAACTAATATGTATTGCATGTCCATGCTAAAATTGCTAAATTGCCTCCATATTATCAAATCTCATTCCAACTCTTCGCTCGTAATCAACACTTAAAAGAATATATGTCATGCTTCCTATTAAAGAATGGATATGAATAAATTTTAAGAAAATTATTTTTATTATTTAGCACAAGTAAATAAGAATGGCATATTAAAAATTAATTTTATATTATATTGTGCATTCTCAAGCATCACAATTTTATTATACATATAACTAAAAAAAAGCTTAAAGATTTAAAAATAGTTTAATCATTTTTTTATTCTCTATAATTTTATCAATTTAATTTTTTAACCTTTAATATTAAATTTTTTAATTTTAGCTTCTATATATAAGTTTTGTCCTTTTTTAATCTCTATTGTCTATTTCTATAGAGACTAAAAACTTCATAAAACGAACTAAAAAAAATTAGCATGAATATGAACTAAATAAATATTTTTAATTACAAAAATTAAAAAGATAAAGTTATGGAAGTTATATTAAAAAAGTAATGAAACTTTTAAAAAATATAGTTGCTTTGTGTTGGAAGTAATGTTTCTTGTGTGAAGAGTGACTGAATATTCTGAACTGAGAAGGGAATTGGATCCAAAAGCGAAGCAAAGATAGATGCAGAATCATACATATGATACATTATCTGCTCTCATTTTGGACATCAATGAGTTTGTATTTTTATGTTTTTTAACACGTAAAGCTTCTTCATTACGCAACACAAAACGTTTCACTTAAATGACACGTGTCAAAATCTAATTTATTTTAATAATAATCCAATGGCTAGATTAGTTGAAAGGTACCGAAACGTTCCCTGAATCCGAATGCAGTGAGTGACTTCACTTATATAAACCAAACCCTAAACCCTACAATGGAAGATCCTTACGCTTTCGTCATCACTCGCAACCACCGCGACATGCCCTCCCCCGCTTCTTCCGCCGACTTCTCGCCGGAATCCTCGCCGGACTCCCACGGCATCGTCATGCTGTCGCTGCCGGACTCCCAGGACGCCGTCGCCCAAGACGTCTTCCACACGCCGCCGGAGGACTCCTCGCTCCCCTCCTCCGACGCCGCCGTCGACCATTGCGCCGTTAGTCACGCCGTCAAGGTTGGTTCCGGCTCCCAGGGGTTCCTTCATTTGGGGAGGGATTCGGAATTAGGGTTTTCGGAGGTTCGGCTCACGCATGAAATTGGGGTTTTGGGTGAGTCGCCGGTGAAAAAATCGAAGCTTTCGGAGGACGGTGTGGGAGTGCGATTGGAGAGAGTGGAAGAGGGCACGGGGCATTGCAAGGGGAAAGTGGTTTCTGAAAGCGATGCGGGTGTTAGCTTGTGTGAATCTGAAAAGGTGGCATGCACTGTTGAGGGGGAGGTTTCGAGTGATGCGGTTAAGGAAGGTTCTGGAATGGGGGAGAAGAGTGATAAGGGTTTGGGGCTGCGTATGTTGCCACCCTCCATGCGTGGGCGTTTGGAGGATGCAACTATTGAAGTGGAATGTGGGAGCAGTGTGGAGAAAGAGAAGTTTTCTGTTTTTGATGTGTTGAAAGTTATCTCAGATATTAGTGCTGAAGCTGATGAAAAGGATGGTGGTGTTCAGCATTGTAGGTTGTTGGAAGTTGCAAAGGATTGTGGTCTGACTTTTCCTCGTCCAAGGTGGTGGCCGGATAACTTCAAAGGATAGTGTGGAAAAGTTTATCCTTTTTTTTGGCATTTTGTTGGCAGATGGTTTTGAAGGGTGATATGAATTTTGTATTTTGCCCTTGGGTTTGGAATTGGTCTTAGATAACTACTCCGTTTAATGGATGGTAGTGTGGTAGGATTCTAATTTCTATCTAGGTGTTAACTAATTTCTATATACTTCGTTTAATATTGTGTATCTCTTGGAATTGTAGTCCAAACCTTGAATTAAGATCGCCAACTTCTTATGTACATGTCTTTGTTTTATGCAACTTATGTTCTGCATCCATTTGCACCAATGCACACTATATTGATGGTTTCAACTAAAAAAATTCTATATAAATAATAAACACACCCTTTGCTTAAGTTCTCTAATGCATTCTGTTTTTAGTCGATTTTGGGAATAGAGAAGTAAGCGAGAAAGAATTGTGAGAGAGAATGTGGTATTTTGGTTGCTTGAGAGAGGAGAGAAGCGGGAGAAGAGAGAAAACATTTGGTGGGAATCATGCTACAAAAGCTCTCTCAGATGATGAAGCGATTTTGCGAAGAAAATGTGTAAATTTGTGAGACCCATCAAATAAAATGGAAATGACGAATATGTCCTTTTATTTTATATTGGGTAAATGTGATACCCGAGACAAATATGTCTGCATACGCTTTTCTTTCTCTTTTACTTTTTTCTTATTTCTTTCAATCCAAACAATTTAAAAATTTATTATTTTTTACTTATTCTCTTTTCTCTTTTATTTCTTTTTATTATATTTCTTTCTTCTCAGAATCTTTCATTACCTAAACAAAGCAGTAGGCTATAAATATGTTTGATTGTCTATTAGCATCCTAGCTTGGGCAAAAACTATAAGTGAAGCTTTTGCATATTTCTTAACAAAATTCCGAACACAATATGTTTGGAGTGAAGGGCGATAATTATCATGAAGTGAAATGAAATGAGATAACACTGGATTTTATTCTTTTAATTAATTGAAATGAAATAATACGTACATTTTTGGGGATATGAATTTTTCTTTTCCTGTTCCATCATAAATTTCCATTTTACCTTGGTTATATTAACTTGGCCATGGAAATATAACCGGCTTTTAATAGAGTTGAATTGATCACTTGTTAAATATAATCCCTGAAAAAGTCAAACAATTCAATCTTTGCTGCCAAAGTGATTCCTACATAATGTACAAATTTTAAAGTAATTTTACATAAAAATGCATATCCGAAATCTATGCACGTATGTATTAAACCAATGTATCAAAAGTATTTTATAAAGAATGCATTTAGCAATACATTTTAAAGTTTTAAGTTAATTAATTTGACTATTTTATTGTGAGATTTGGCTAAATGTAGGCTATTTGTATGTTTGATTGTCAATTAACATAATTGTTTGGGCAAAAACTATAAGAGAATCTTTGCCATGTTTTTTAACAAAATTCCAAACACACTATGTTTAGAATGTAAGGAAAACAAATATCATGAAGTGAAATGGAATGAAATAACACTAGATTTTAGTCTTTTTATTATTTGAAATGAAATGAAATGATTAGAACATGATAAATAATTTTTTTGAGATATAAAACTGTTGATCACTTGTGAAATAAAATCCCTAAAAAAAGTGATTAATAATTTAAGGATAAAATATTTTTATAATTTATATAATTTCACCTATTTTATCTTTTAATCCATATAATTTAAAATAGACTTTTTTAGTTCATATATTTAGATTTTTAATCTTTATCATTAATCTCTTTATAATATTGATTCCATGTGGATAATAAAATCTTATTAAACCCAATTGAAGATAAAGTATTTAATTTTTTTGAATAGCAATGTATCATTTAATAGTTTACTATGCAATCACTTACAATTTTATTATTTATTTGAATCGTATTTAATCATAATAAATATTAATTATCCACAAAATTATTCTAACTTTTCATTTTTTTTTCCCTCTCAAAACATTAACTATCCACAAAACCAAATACATCATCACCATATAAGTCACTCACACGAAGATGATGTTAAAAAAAATTAGCGAAATAGATTAAAATTTATAAATATAAAGACAATAATTTATTTTAGACTATAAAAAATAAGTCATTAAAACTATAGAGATTAAAAATTATATTAACCATAATTCAATCTTTGCAACCAAAATAAGCCTGCATGATGTCCAAATTTTAAAGATGTTATACATAAAAATGCATATTAGAAATGTATAATAAGCCAATGTATCAAGTATTTTGTACACAGACTGTTTAGCAGACGACTCTAAGCTTATAAGGACTCTAAACTTTTTAGTTTACCTATTTTATTAACTTTATTGATTAAAATAAATATATCTGATATGTAAACTATTTAATATTTTCTAACTTGTTTTTGTAAGCTAATTCAAACTAAATGCCCTTTCATATCATAACACATTATCAGTTGGCTTATTAGCTAAACTCCACCAACACTTTAATTCAATTGACTAAATTTTCTATTTTTCAACTCCTACCTTATAAGCTCCGACTAAATTATAAACCTTCAACTAGCTTAACAAACTAATTTTGTGAAACGCACTCCTAATAAAAATCATAGGAATGCATGGGGTCGAAGTGCCTCTAAAATTTCAATACATGGGGTGTCATATGCTTTAAACATAACTAAGACAAAATAATTGTCCAGTTCTTTATCATCCATTCCATAAAGCTGTGTCGTCTTATTCTTTAGATGAAAGTTTAGAGTTATGATTTAAACCTACTGGTAGAAAAGGGTGTGAATATCATTCACAAAACATAAACTACAATTGCATACAAAACTCCGGAGATGATGACTCCGCATTTCATGCTATATGTTACAATCTATTACCAACCTATACAAAAAAAAAAAAAAAAAAAAAAAACCCAT